TGGCTTCTTTTGAGAGAGGTAGTTGTGTACTATTATAATAAAAGGAAGCATTATTAAAAAAACATCCAACCGTTAAACTGTTGTTTTATTTGCCTAAATTACTTTGAAAATAAATTATAAAAATTGTAAAAGAGCATCCTACTTCGCTGGGCTGTAGGGAAGTCGTATATCGATAGATGGCGCTAATGCTACGATTCTAAGTGATGACTCTATCCCCTATATATAATGTACTCTGTGGTGGCTACTGACCTGCCTGCCGCAGGGGCAATCTAGGGTGTAGGAGTGGGGATGACCCTTAATTGCCTCCTTAATTGTGATGTGTGTAGGCAAGCAGGGGCAATTTTTTAAGTCGGCCCTGCGGCAGGGCGGCAGGAGCGCAATGTTGCAAAAGTTCCCGATTTATCGAGAGATCTACTGATTTTAATTAGTATCTCCCGATTTAGTGAACGTGTCTCCCGATTTTTTTACATTTTCAACTAATGTAAAATAATAATCATAAATAAAATTGAAAAGTAATAATCAAAATACTAAAATGAACTTTTAACACAAAATCTATGTACGGGGACTTCCCGAAATTGCTCGCACCACGTCCTATGGGACCTATACCTATAACCTTATTAGGCTTTTAACTTCGCGGTATGGTTAAAGCATATTGCACTGATATGTCTTAAAATAGAGTTCATTATTGTCTGGTAAGTGTACGGGGGAGATCCCTAAAATTACTTTGTTCGGGTTGTTTTACGAATTAGGTAGCTTAGGCCATGTATATATAGTGTACAAAATGCGCCAACACCAACGCGTGTTCGACCGGGTCGTTCAACCGAAAACATCGCAGCCGTGAGCCACAGTGTTGAAGAAGATCCAAATTTGTCAATTCCTCGACGTTCTCAACAATTGGGGTTATCCAAAACCACCACATGGCGAATTTTGCGTAAGGATTTGGCTTTGAAGCCTTACAAGGTTCAACTGGTGCAGGAATTGAAGCTGACCGACCATTCACATCGCCATAGATTCGCTCAATTCATTCAGGAACAGCCCGCTGGTTTTTCTGAAAAATTTTTTTTTTCAGACGAAGCCCATTTTTACTTGTCAGGGTACGTCAACAATCAAAATTGCCGCATTTGGGCTTCTGAAAATCCTAAAGCGATTATTGAGAAGCCTTTGCATGCTCAACGTGTCACTGTATGGTGCGCTATGTGGTCTGGAGGCGTGATTGGGCCGTTTTTTTCGAAGATGAGGCTGGAAATGCGGTAACGGTCAATGGATCACGCTATCGCGAGATGTTAACATCTCAATTTTGCCTATTATGGATGACATCGATATCACAAACATGTGGTTTCAACAGGACGGTGCCACATGTCACACAGCCAACGAAACGATCAATTTATTGCAAACCAAATTTCCCGATCGCATAATTTCACGAAATTCAGCTGTTAAATGGCCAGCCAGATCGTGTGATTTAACACCACTGGATTATTTTTTGTGGGGCTATGTTAAGGACAGAGTCTATATTCTCCACTTGGGCCCTCAACACAGGTGGGTAGTGCTGGGACCGTTTGTGGGGGAGAGGAACCTCTTGTACATATTTCTGCTAAACAGATACGCAGTATCATAATAGGTATGAGCCGAGGTAAATCTCCAGGACATGACGGGCTCAGCATTGAGCGCCTGAAGCACGCTGAATTTCACCTGCCACGAGTCCTGTCCATGTTCTACACAATGTGTATTAGTCACTCTTACTTACCTACAAATCTGATGAAGACAATAGTAGTTCCCATTGTGAAGAACAAGACGGGAGACATCTCTGACAAGGGTAACTATCGTCCTATTTCCTTAGCGACTATCATAGCAAAGGTGTTGGACGGTGTGCTTGATACCATCTTAAGTGACCACATTCAACTGCATGACACACAGTTCGGGTTTAGACCAGGACTATCAACCGAAAGTGCTATTTTAAGTCTAAAGCACACCGTTCGATATTATGTAGATCGGGATACCCCGGTATATGCCTGTTTCCTTGATCTTTCCAGGGCATTTGATCTCGTCTCATATGACGTGCTCTGGAGGAAGGTGGAGGACAGGGGTGTACCGTCAGAGATATGTGGTCTGCTCAAATATTGGTACAGTAAACAAATAAATCATGTGAAATGGGACGATACTCTTAGTGAACCGTACAGGTTGGAATGCGGGGTAAGGCAGGGGGGTCTAACGTCTCCCAGATTATTCAACCTATATATAGATGCTCTCATAGGCGAGCTCAGCAGCAAGCGTGTCGGATGCAGTGTTGGTGGGGTTAGTATTAACAACATCAGCTATGCAGATGACATGGTGCTGATGGGACCGTCGGTGAGGGCAGTAAGAGAGTTACTGAAGGTGTGTGTAGCCTATGCTGAGTCTCATGGATTGGCATATAATGTCAAAAAATGTGAGTACATTGTCTTTGGGGTCAGGGGCAAGTCTAGGACTGATGAACCTGACCTGTTCTTGAATGGGTCAAAACTTAAAAAAGTGACGTCCTTTAAATATCTTGGTCATTTTCCTGCAGATGACCTGAAAGATAATGTAGACATTGAGAGGGAACGCAGGGCTTTAGCGGTCAGGAGTAACATGCTGGCCCGTAGATTTGCTCGATGTACGGACGTAGTTAAAATTACCCTATTTAAGGCATATTGCCAGAGTCTGTATACAAGCAATCTATGGATCAATTACACTAAAAGGTCGCTGGATGCCCTGCGTGTTCAATATAATAATGCTTTCAGAATGTTGTTAGGACTGCCTCGATACTGTAGTGCGTCGGAGATGTTTGCGCAAGCTCGCACGGACGGTTTTCATACGATAATACGTAAGAAAACAGCTTCGCTGCTTAGAAGGGTGAGAGATAGTCACAACAGCATTTTGAAAACAGTAGCGGAGAACTATGATTCTCCGATTTTGAAAAAGTTTGTCCACACATTAATGTTTACTAACACTAGTTTATAAGTCAATTGTTACTAACACTACTATGGATTAATTTTGGTCCGAAATAAAGATTATTATTATTATTATTATACGGAGCCAATTGAATCGATCGCGGCCTTAAAACTCAAAATCCGTGACGTGATTAACGAAATAGACCCGCCATTTTGCCAAAAAGTGATTAAAAACTTTGATGAAAGAATCAGTCATCTCCGCTAGGAGTAAAGTATTCTGTGGAAAGAATCGACATCAGTCAGCGTGGTCGTGGTGGACATTTGCCAGATATCATTTTTCATTCATAATTGCCAAACTTTTCTCTTCGTAATACAATAAAAATTTGAATCATCTTCATCTAAACTCTTTGTTTGATTTTGTTTTAGAAAACAAAGTTCTTGTTGAAAAACCCATTATTACTCTACTCTATGATCTATGGAATAGTATAATAATTCGGCTGTTATCTTTTATTCCAGCAATAAAAAGTTGATATTTTATGATAAACTATTATCGCCATCTATTGATGAATAGTATGCTAACTGCTTGTTAATGCCATCTAGTAGTCAGTGGAAGCTTAAAACTTCATAATAAAAACCTAGATGTCGCTAACTACGCGAAGTAGAGCGTAATACCCATAATTTAATAAAATTTAATTTAACATAAACTTTATATATATACATATATACATAAAATAACCTATTAACTTATCTCATTTCTTTTCACTAAAGAAGAATTTTATGATAAAATTGAAGTTCAGGTGGTACCAGAAATAAGAAAATATAAATCGAAATGTCCAATTAATCAAAATAGAATGAAAATTATGTTTAACATTTATCAATATAAGTATTTATTTATTTAAAGGTAATTTTTAACCTTTCTAAAATTTAAAACAGAAATGGCTTCTAAACGACCATAAATAAAATAAATTTTGGTGCATTTTATTTTTCTTCCAATATTGCTGGACTTTATCAGTCGTGTGAGATGGATGGCGCTATATGTTTGCTCTAGTCGCACTTGTAGAACCACCGACTTCCCCGCCCGCGCACCTCTCGCATAAATTTCCTTGCACCGCTCCTCGGCTCGGCTACCCCGCCTCCGCCTCGCCCCTAATTTGCTTTGTTTCCATTGTTAACTTTTTAAAATAATTATACTTTGAACTATTAATTAAGATTTTTTCCTATTGTTTCTTCATATTGGATCCTTTTTAATCTAGTAGTAATGGCCACAAGTGTTATTATGGAAGTACTTTGATGGTACTTCATAATAATTTTATATTTTATTTGTTTAGGATTTAGGTATGTATATTTTAAGATGCACAAGTATTTGCCATCGTCTTCAACTAAAACTATAATAATAATCCAAACTAGGATCTAAAAATAACAATATCGTGTATTATATAAGAGAAAAGTTAAAATTTTTAAATGACACATTTTTAGTCTAATTTAATAACGGTTTTAAGGTTTTTTGAAATAAATTATTAATTAATATTCTTAATTACCTGAAAATACCATTGTTATGGAGAATAGGTATTTCAGTTGTTTTCTTAGTAGGTACCTAAAAAAACGGGAAAATAAAAAAATACATCTTAATATCGTAAGTTATTTTAAAATATATTCGAACGGAACTATAAGCTCATTTATCAATACAAAAAAATATTCTAACAAAAGAATGTAATATAAAATAATACAAAAGAATTTTGTAAATACAATTCATGACGCTGTCGTTGTTATATTGGACACAGAGCAGCTGATTCTCAGTAATCGCACCAAGTCGTAAACAGCCTGCTGTGGCCTCGCGCTTCGTTACGATGCAATCCACCAATGGCGTGAAACTTGCTTTTCATATCACGTCATTTTCGACCAATGAACGATCGATATTATCACGCTACAGCTAAAAATAGCTTATCTGAGTCATGGAATAAAAGCAGTGGTTGTTTCTTAACAATGTTTAGAAACAAGTGGAACGTTGAGCGTGCTGGACGTTCGTCGTCGCACGAGAAAGTTTGCTTCGCGCAGTGAGTTCAGTGATACCGAGGCGTTAAGTGCTAACACATGGTTCGGCACTCCGGCCACGGGATGGAGACTACTTTCTACGACGAGCAGTATCCCCTTAGCGGCCCGGTGGAGAATTTAAAACGGACTCTCACATTGGATCTGGACTTCGGGCGAGGTGGGAAGAGGTCGCGGAGCACCGCGCCTGTTCTTTCCTCGCCGGACTTACAACTTCTCAAGTTGGGCTCACCTGAGCTCGAGAAGCTGATCATTCAAAACGGCATGATAACGACGGCAACACCAACGCCGGGCGCGGCGGTGTTGTTTCCCCCCGCTGCACCCACAGAGGAGCAGGAGATGTACGCGCGGCCATTCGTCGAGGCGCTGGACAAGTTGCACCACGGTGAGCCTGCGCCGCTAGCACGACGAGTGTATGCTGATCTGGACCGGCCTGTTGACCGTTACCCTACACCCGTCGTTAAAGACGAGCCACAAACCGTTCCAAGTGCTTCCAGTACGCCACCTCTTTCCCCGATTGACATGGACACCCAAGAAAGAATTAAACTGGAGCGCAAGCGACAAAGGAACCGAGTAGCCGCGTCCAAATGCCGGCGGCGGAAGTTAGAACGTATCTCAAAACTGGAGGAGAAGGTTAAGTTGTTAAAAGGCGAGAATGCAGAGTTGGCGCAGATGGTGGTGAAGCTAAAAGACCATGTGCACAGGTTGAAGCAGCAGGTGCTGGAGCACGCGAACGGTGGTTGCCACATCGACACGCACTTCTGATCGCGCGCGCGTGGCCGTCGTTCCTCCACATTCCATGCTAGTCGCGCCCGCTCGGACGCAGCATACAAAGCGTTTTGTGATCTTAATTTTACTGTGTAATATATAGTTAACTCTAGATAGTAAGGTGAAGCTAAGTTAAGGATGTTGTAGTGTCAAAGTTTGAAAGGGTGCGAGTGACAGCAGAACTTCTGCCCGCGGCCTCCTATCGGAGCTTGTATGGGACGTACTTAGCGAGTGCCACAAGTTGTAAATTCCATTGTAAGTCGCAGTTACAGTTATCCTTGTATATCAGTATTGCGTTTGTCTCATTTAGAATAGAAGTAGAAACTAGAAAGGATAATCTTATCTTGCAACGTCATTCGATTGCAAACCGACTGACTGCTTGGGTGACTGCGATGCGACGTTGCCACTTCAGCAGTGAATTTTCGTTTTATCGGTATCACCGTACAGTGTATTTACTGAATCGGAGATTTCAATTGTTGTTTACATTCTAAGTGACCTACCAGTTTGATAATTATTTGTTATATTTTTTGAATGCTCCGAATCGCATGATAAACAAATGCAGTGTCATAAACAGAAAGAAAGAGCAAGCGCCACCTTTATGTCTGGTTGCGACTTGTGCGAAAGAGACAGTTGTAGGGTATAGTTGGCAACAGCGCATCACACACACACCAAGTCAGGAGCGGATGTTCTGCTAATTAAAATTCCGCCTGTGCCGCCCTCGCGGAATGGTGGCCATGTGTTCGGCAATCGGACGTTTCGAATCGCGTTTTGTTGCACAAGGTTAACTTTTCATCACGACAATAGCGCCCCCTCGCTTGTCTGATTTGTTGTTTATGATTGAGAAAAAAATTGCGTGAAAGACTGATTGAGTGTGAGATACGTGCCTTGTATGAGAAGTTGAGAAGAGTACATAGCGCAAGGTACCTAATACCTTACAGTGTATTCTCTGAACTGACCCGGTGCTCTTTAGAGGTCTTAAACGTGAGTTGAGGCCGTCCGATTAAAATATAATTGTGGATGGGAGTGCATTTCGTTATTGTTTAGAAGAATGAATGAATAGTGAATGTGCGATGTATTTATTGGTGAGAATGTTTACGTGTTAGGATCAAGTAGCAATCTCGAGTGCCTACGCTTTGTAAACTGAAAAGCCTACGTGTTTTTATTGTTTTTGTTACCATTATATGCTACAGTGGATTGCTCTGTACCATTGTATTCTGTAGATTATTGTAAGTAATATTATACCAATTAACAAGTTGAATTGTTATAGACTATATAAGGGGGAAAATTGCCGTGTGCAATATGAAAATATACGCAAGAATAGTTCTTGATTAAGTCAGTCACGGCAAATGAACCCTATTTGTATTATTTTTATACAAAAAGATTCATCAAATGTTAACAATAATTTGTAAGTTTATAAAAGATAAAGAACCGTTATACTAAAATAATATATTTCTATGAATTTAACAAAGAATATTGTTTTATACTGAAAACATTGTATGATAAAACTGAATGAAGAGAAAATAAATTATGAAGATTATTATACCATTTACTTCTTGCTTTCATTTATGCCAAAACGCCACCACGTGATGTCACTATAAAAGAAAATAATATTAGAGAAAAAAACATGCGTGAGTGTCGTGGAACACTCTGTTGGAACAAAGTTCTTTTCGTAGTATATAAATATATTGGTTAACAAATACAAATAAATGAATTACTAGCGGCTATTAAAATGAAGCGACACTTAAAATAATATTTCTTTCATTGCAAGATAAGATAAAGTGCGAGTGAGATGGATATTATCCCATCTCGCACTATAGAAAGGGGTTCGTGACGAAAATTTTTACTTTTTCTCGCCTAGCCCCCGTCCTTCATATTCGTACTTATAAACGTACGTAAAAAGAACTTTGTTCCAAAAATTACGCATTGACCATGATCTGTGACGATTCTAGTGAGAATACTAGGTCACGGTCATGGTCATGTATTGCCATGGGTCATAAAATCAGACTGCAAAATTTCAGATCATTCGGACTATCCATAGGTATGAAAATGAATTACTAAATGCCATTACATTCATCATATTACATAAATACAGTTCAAGCGGTCAGTATAACAACACACAATCACATACACACACATAATATAATATTGCGTAACACACAAACCAAAAAAACACGAATTGCGAACCTCTTCCTTTTGAAGTCGGTTAAAAAAAGCCACAATATGAAAAATTGAATGGCGGCAAAAAAGGCAGAAATGTAATATTGAAATATTTTCCTGCCTTGCACTACCCCCATACTATGTTCATGAATCTACTTCATTTGTAGGTCATGAAAATAATCACAACATTTAATTTTGTTTTCGTTGAGTTATGTCATATTATATCATCAACTATAATTCGAGAGTAGGTAATTGACGTCGAAAGCCTAGCTATTGACGTAGATACGTAACAACTAACAATACAAAGGAACAAAGGTTTATCGAATACATTACCCTCTCCGAAATAGATCTGCGACCTTCTCGACTGTAAGGGCTAAAACTGTTCTTAAATAATATAAAAATAAAAATTTTGTACAACCGACTTCAATTTAAATTATTAAGAATAACTCAAAAACTATTGGTCAGACCTTGACCAAAATTATATGGAACCACATGAGAAGCACCAGCTTTCAAATAAAAAAAGAATCATTGAAATCGGTTCACCCAGAAAAGTTATGAGGTAACAAAAAAAAAAGAACACAAGAACAGTTGAATTGAGTACCTTCTCCTTTTTGAAGTCGGTAGAGAAAAAACTACAAGCAAGCGTCGACTTGAATCACTGAACATTTGCATGCATCACTAATCGGGTTGCGGCAATAACTGTTGGCAGTCTAAGTCCTTCATTTACCCGGAAGCCCGGAACACAGAAATCTAAATTTTTATAATAATTAATAATTATTTCGATTTCTCAGTAGGTCTTAAAACAAAAAGAATGTGCCATTTGTGTTACTTGCCGATAATCATGTCGTAAAATGCTATGATTTTTGACAGTGTAGGCGATGAACTATAAAATTACCTGGCGAACCTATCTAACAATTTGTTCGGCTAAACGTAGCCCGAGTTAGTTAGCCCGCTCTTTGTACTCTGGCTCTGCTTACCTCTTCGAGTATTACAGGCGTGGCGTATTAAACAGATTTTTGTGACCCCGAACTTTAGTTTCACACATGTCTTTCCTCACAGTCGACTTGCTTAGAACGTCTCTTCCATCTTTGATAGCATATTAAAGTTAAAGTTAGCCTGTATACGTCCCACCGCTGGGCACTGACCTCGTCTCACTTCTGAGAGCATATTGACATTATAAAAATATGATAGTACGTAAAACCAGATCTAGTAAGGTCATTCGTTATAATAGTCAAGAAATGAGAAATGTCGATACCGTCAAACGTTACGTAATGTTTCAATCATTATTTTATAATTATGTAAAAAATTCAAACTAACGTTTACTTTAATACCTACCTACAGCATGTAATTAGAGAGACTTCACAAAAGGAGGGCGATAGATATCTAATGTTAGCTGGCCGATTTTGATGATTCTTTTTTTTTTAACGAAATTTACTATTACAATGGTCCCGTATTATTTCTTTTTTAGAATAAAGGTGTCAAACCAGCACATAGTCCACCTGATGGTAAATAGATATTGGGGCACAAAGACATCTACATCTATCCTCAATTAAGAATCAAAATTCAGATGCGTTGTCACCCTGAGAACTAAGACGGAATGCCTGTTTCCAGTGAAAAGGGCGCAGATGGTTCTCTACCCTGACCATATGAATCACAGCAGCATTAAGGTACTATTTTCAACCAGATCCTCTTTAACTAAAACAAAAGAATAGAATCATTTTTATTCAATATGGTAACACTGGTTCGAAAAAAACCTCTGTCCTGGGAATAACCAGCCAGAATCCCAGTGGGAAGTTTTTTTAAAAAATATATTGTTGTATTGTTTTTAATGTCCAGTAATTATTTAAGTCCGGCAGTTTCCTGTGGATCAAGGAAGTTTCTAGCACAATATTGCCTTATCTTAATCGGCGACCGAAATTCAGTCGAAAACAAAAGTGTTTTCCTGTGCAAACATAAAATAATAGTTATTTTCCACAAGTCGAATAATTTAATAATTTTGTTATTGATATGTGGCTTCGATGAGTATATTTATACAACATGTAGTAATAACAAGTCACTAATAATTTTGTTCAGAAGGTCAAGTGACTCGGTGCCAAATTTACGTAACCGGACATCCGAATACCGCACATGCTGTGCAAGGCGATTTCAAATTACAGAATAACGTGTTTTTTTTTAGAGTTTTGTTAAAAACAGTACGAAGAAAATATGTGGCTATAGGCAATAGGCATACAGAGTATAATTTCATGGCAACTGATCCTAGTTATAGTTAGTATCTACATTTCTCGATATGGGTCAGTATAACTTTGCAGTGACGAATGTCAACATGGATCCTACGCATTGTTCTTCTATATTAAACAATCGGGCGTATTTACTAATAAAACTATGTTTATATTTTAACATTTTCTGTTTATAATCTCACGTTAAAACAAACGTGTTTATATTAACCAAACTATACAAACTGCTGGCGCGCTGATAATTTTTAAAGCGTTCAAGAAAATAAATGAATTTTACTAAAAAATTTGCCCATCTCCTGGTTTGTGTTCCCATCCCACTGTCGCCTCTTACGACACCCACGGACCGATAAATATTAGTGGATATTCTTACCAGTGTTTCCGCTTTTAGGAATTTTGCCCATTTTAGGGCGAAAACGCTAATCCCTAAAAATGTAAAATAGCCCTAAGCCATTCTTTAAGGCTTAGGGCTATTTTACATTTTTAGGCATTTAGGGTGATTTGGGGTAAAATAGAATAAAAAGGTTGGCATCACTATTTAAACATAGTCTTATGCACCTATGTCAACAAAACTGAATGTACTACTTGGATAATGATCACATTTATATT